CTCAGAGTCTGAAACTCCCTCCCGATTGAAAACGACAACCGCACCCTCCGCTGCCAGCCCGCTCCGCGCGCGCACTCCGCACCTGAGTATTTCACTTCAGCACTGCGCCTCCTCTGAGTCTGGGTATGATATTCTCTTTCCTCCTAGTTGTAGAATTTCCACTCAGCCAGCCTTCCTGTGGTTCTGGATGATGTCTGTTCTGTCCTTTAGTTATATCTCTGAAGTGGTTGTTCAAGGCAGCAATCTCCGGCATTAACCTATGCCGCCATCTTGGTTTCTCTATCTCTCTTTGAGTGTGGCCAATCTGAACTGTACCACAACATCAGGATGCCTTTAAATTATTTTCTTTTTTAAAAAATATATTTATATTGCCCTAACCGTTTTGGCTCAGTGGATAGAGCGTCAGTCTGCAGACTCAAGGGTCCCAGGTTCGAGTCAAGGGCATGTACCTTGGTTGCGGGTATATCCCCAGTAGGGAGTGTGCAGGAGGTAGCTGATGGATGTTTCTCTCTCATTGATGTTTCTAACTCTCTATCCCTCTCCCTTCCTCTCTGTAAAAAAATCAATAAGATATATTTTAAATATATATATTTTATTGATTTCAGAGAGGAAGGAAGAGGGAGAGAGAGACAGAAACATCAATGATGAGAGAGAATAATTGATTGGCTGCCTCCTGCATGCCCCCTACAGGGGATAGAGACCACAACCCAGGCATGTGCCCTTGACCAGAATTGAACCTGGGACCCTTCAGTCTGCAGGCCGATGCTCTCGCCACTGAGCCAAACTGGCTAGGGCTAAATTATTTTCCAAAATAAAGGAAACTAAAACTACCTCTAGCCTCTACTGGATTATCCATTTACCTCCTTTGTGGACCTCCCCTTTCTCCTGGACTGCCCAGGACCCTGGAGTTTATGTAACACACACAGCAGCCCTGTGGACACTCACACCTGCCGGGGAAAAGCCCAAAGCAGCGTCTTAAACTCTGGACAGTGGCTGTCTCTGCAATTGCTCTTAGGGGCCACAAGGTGTCACTCGATGCACATTCAAATCAATGTGACGCTGTAGGGCGGCTGTTAGACGCCTGGGAGGAAAGATTTCATTCCCACAGCATCAGCCTTGGTACCTGGCCTATGGTTCCTACGCTGCTCTTGCCTGTCCATCTGTCTACTATATCACGACCAGCAGCAAGCAGGATACAGAAGCTTAACTTACTGCATCCTTATGAAAAGTAATTAAAACAATTTGTAAAAATCTCTGATCATTGAATAAGTGAAAAAAAATTTGGGGGGGGGGCAGGGTATAAATGCTTTATTGTTGTTCTCAAAATTTTTTAATTCTCACCTGAGGGTATTTTTTCCATTGATTTTTTTAAAAATTTTTTTTTAGAGAGAGAGTGGAATGGAGGGAGGAGGAGGGGAGAGAGAGAAGCATTGATGTGAGAGAGACACATTGATTGGTTTCCTCCCCCACACGATACCAGTTGGGGCACAGGGAATGGAACCTGCAACCGAGCTACACAATTAGGAATCGAACCTGTGACCCTTAGGTCCAAAAGCCAATGCTCTAACTATTGAGAAAACCGGTCAGGGTTATTATTATTATTATTATTATTATTATTATTTTAACACAGAGGAAGGCTGGTGGTGAATATTTGGCCATTTGATGTTTTATTTTTAAATTTTCATTAATTTCAGAGAGAAAGGGAGAGGGAGAGAGATAGAAACATCAATGGTGAGAGCGATTCATTGATCGGCTGCCCCACACTGGGGACTGAGCTCACGACCCAGACATGTGCCCTGACTGGGAATTGAACCTTCTGGTTCATAGATCGATGCTCAACCACTGAGCCATGCCAGCTGGCTGGGCTGATGCTTTTATTGACTAAGGGTTCAAGTTCAGGCTCTCTTTCTGATAGAATGTAAAAGCACACCTACACATGCCTATATGTGATTGTTATCAAAACTAAGCTTAGACACTAAAAGAAGATTCATTATCTGAACTTCCTTCTGTGTTTTTTCACCTTCGCCATCAGGCACTGGAGCATCTGGCATCTCACAAAGATCTGGGTCTAGTCCTTCTGATATAATTTTCTTTTCTTTTTTTAAAATATTTTTTATATATTTTATTGATTTTTTACAGAGAGGAGGGGAAAGGGATAGAGCGTTAGAAATATCAATGAGAAAGAAACATTGATCAGCTGCCTCCTGCACACTCCTACTGGGAATATGCCTCAACCAACAGACCCTTGACTGGAATCGAACCCAGGACCCTTTACTCCGCAGGCTGACACTCTATCCGCTGAGCCAAACCAGTCAGGGCTCATTTTGTCTCTTATTGCCATCACTGGATCACCCTCAGCAGGTGGGGACGAAAAAGAAATTTTTTTAAATTTGCAATTTATTACTAGGATGAATAGTTTTAAATTACGTTTCTGCTTCTATAAATTTTCTGTTAGTATCTTTTGTTTATTTACTTACTGAGGTATTAATTTTTGTATTTATTTATTGATTGGTTTTGAAAGAGAGAGAGAGAAAAGCATCGATTCGTTGTTCCACTTATTTGTGCATTCATTAGTTGCCTTCTGTATATGCCCTGACCGGGGATGGGATCCACAACTTTGGCGCGTTGGGACGCTGCTCTAACCAACTGAACTACTCGGCCAGGGCCTTGTACCCTAGCCCGTTTGGCTCTGCGGCAGAGCGTCGGCCTGCAAACTGAAAGGTCCTGCATTCGATTCCGGTGAAAGACACATGTCCCGGCTGCAGGCTCAATCCCCAGTGGGGGGCGTGCAAGAGGCAGCCAATCAATGATTCTCTCTCATCATTGATGTTTCTATCTCTCCCTCTCCCTTCCTCTCTAAAATCAATAAAAAATACATTTAAAAAATTGATTCTTGTGAGCCCTTTATTGAAGAGACTGATCTAGTGTCTTTTGTGTTTGTTACCAATATTTTCTCAGTGTAATGCTTATTTTAATGTCTACAAGTTTTCAATTTGTAATTTTTAAAGATTAAGTTATTTAAATTGAGGTACCATTATACACAATGAAATGCACAGATCTTAAGAGCACATATTTAGAGTTTTAACATACATACACAATCATGCACATGTTTTTAATTTTTATATATTCAAATTTCTTGGTTTTTTCCTCCAGTGTTCACTGTTAGGAAAAAGTGAAAGACTTTGAAATGAACAACAACAATAAAAACTTTATGGGTGTCGTAGTATCTAGAGCACCCTTTCATGTTATCTTTTGTTGTCTGTGACCTATTTCACAACTCTGTAAGTTGTAGAAAACCAATATTAATGCAAATTATTCTTGTCCATAGAAATGCAAATTAGTTCTGGAATACAATTGATTATTGCCCTGGAATGGATACATTTGCCTCTATTTATAAATACATTTTAGCATTTCTTATCTGCCTATGTAGTGTGTGTACTTCTTTGAATTCTCCTGTGAATTAGTAAGTAACATCTTACTGGTTCCCTGATGATAATCAATTAATGAGTTAAATAAAATCTTTGACATATGTTCATTTTGTATCTGCATGAGAGTCATGATTATGTCCTTTTAAAAACATTATCTTCAAGCATTGCCCATATTCAAGGCATGAGTAATAGGTCATGGTATGCATTCATTCTGTAAACAGTTTATTTTCAAGGTTAAACTGAATTTTTTTGAAAGGGTTAGGACGGGACTGACAGTTCATAATTATGAATCATCAAGAAAAGCTAGATTTGGGACATATTGTCTTTACTACCTAGCCATGCTACTGATGGTATTTGACTCTGTACCCCAATACAGTCTCCTCTTTCTCCTTCTTTTTCTTTTTGCTAGCAATGGCCTAATAAACTCTTTCTTTGCTTTAAAAAAAAATATTGTCATTGATTTCAGGGAGGAAGGGAGAGGGAGAGAGAGATAGAAACATCAATGATGAGAGAGAATCATGGATCGGCTGCCGCCTGCACGCCCCCTACTGGGGATCGAGCCCACAACCCGGGCATGGAACCGGTGACCTCCTAGTTCGCGGGTCGATGCTCAATCACTGAGCTACACCCGAATAGGCAAACCCTTTTTTTTTTTTTTTTTTTTTAAAGAAAGAAAGCTAGAATTACTCTTTTTGCTTAGAAAACATAAATAAATACATTCACTTATGTCCCCAAATTTCCAATAAAACAAGGTGGGATCCATACACTGTAGTCTTTTGTTTGTTTTCCCCAACTTAGCTTCTTCTCAAGACCTTAAAACTTAGGGAGCACGTGAGTTGATGGGGAGTCCCTGGAGGGCAAACACTATTTTCATTCATTTCCAGTAATAAGTTCTCAGATGACTCAACACATTTGTGAAATCAAACCATTGCCCTAGCAATGTGAACGTTTCTCTACAAGGGAAGTGGGCAGGCCTCAAGGCAGAACAGGAGAGGGCAGACTGCTCCAGGCGGGGCAGCCCAGGGCTCAGAGGACCAGAGGTTTATGTCCCTCCCTGGTCCTTCCCATCTCCTCGCCACTCCCCAGGCCGCTCAGGTGGCAGAAACCATGACAAGGAACCGGAGGAGAGAGAAAGGCGGGTGGAGCCGGGGTGGGAGCTGCGCTGGCTGGACAGGTGCCTGTGGTGGATGCTCAAGTCCAGCCTGAGCGTTGCAGAAGTAGGCGACAGGGAGCCCCCTGTTTGGGGAATGGCACACTGGGGAGATCAGAGAGTTAAGAACCAGGACTCTAGGCACAGCAAGTTCCCTAATACCGGATTCCTTCGCCTGCCTCCTCTGGCTACGGACAGGGGTATGAATCAATGGAAGGAGGAGAGCCTGGGAATCGTGATGTTAATGGCAAGAAGCATAGCAGTCTTACACTAAAGGCTTCTTTCTGCTTGGGGTTTCTTATGCTTAGTCTGAGTTGGCCTGGAACCCAGCGGCGGCAGACGTCATTCGGTCCCCGGCCGCGGCGGGGTGGGGCGGAGGGGTGGCCCGAGGAGGATGCGCAGCGCGGTCCGGCGGCGAGCTGCTCCGCTCCCTGGGAGGGGCTGGGTGCCAGAGCGCGGGAGACGCCGCGGGGGAAACCCGGCTGCTCCGCCGTTGTCTGATGAGGCCAGGGGGGTCCGCATCTGCAGATCCCTCTCTGGGGACACAGTTTTTGACCCCCCCCTCTCAGCTCCGGAGACGCGGTTCCCGTAGTCGGGTAGCTGGGGGATTGTGTTTAGTACTTGTCACCGTTCCGAACTGGGCGTCCCGGACTCGGGAGCCTTGTGTTTGCTCAGGACTACATTTCCCAGAAGGCGCCGCGGTGATCGACAGCCCGATCAGCCTACGGGTAGGGGAAACGCCTCGTCACGGAAACTGAGAAGCCAATGGCAAGAGGTCATAGGCGGTGTTTTCCGGCGGCTGGCTGCGGAGCGCCGAGTCCCACCTGTGTCTCCACAGCCCTGTCACGCACCCCTGGTCGGAGTCTGGTAGGGACGCGCTGGGTGTGGCGGGCCGGGCGCGGCTCGGCGGCGGCGGACTCTCCTTCCCGCTCCGTCCCCGGCGGGGCCCCGGGGCGGTGAGTGGGTCCGGGAGCGGAGACCGCGGCCGCAGCCAGGAGCTGCGGAGGAGCGCGGAGGGGGCTCGCCTGCCGCCCCGACGCCGACTCTGCCCGGTCCCCGCGCTCGCCCTGCGGAGCCCGCGGGTCTGCTGAGCAGCGGGGACCGGGAGCTGCGGTTTTCTGTGCCGTCGTCGAGATGGCAACCCGCGTATCCATTTTCTTGCTCCTCGAGGGTGGTCCCGGGTGGCAGCCTGGCGTTGTGACCCCCTGACCGCAGCACCCCGACTGGGCCTGCTGCACGGCGAGGGGGGAGCATGGGTGGCGGCCCTGCCCGGGCCGTCATGTTCCTATTAATAAATCCAACGACAAACCGCTGCTTCGCACAAAGGCACTCGGACACCGCACCTGGCGCTCGGGGGCCTCTGAGGTCACCGGCCCCGGAGACAGCGTGGGAGGCAGGGTCCCCGTCCCCCTCCCGCCGGCTCCTGCAGGGGGCGCTGCGGTGGTGCTTGGTGATGGACGCAGAAATGAAATGATTGCTTCAAACTCAGCACGGCTCTCGCTCCCCAATGACGTTATTTTTGCTCGTGAAGGATATATAAATATATATATATATATATAATTGATTTTTTCAGAGAGGAAGGGAGAGGGATAGAGAGTTAGAGAGAAGCATCGATCAGCTGCCTCCTGCACACTCCCTACTGGGGATGTGCCTGCAACCAAGGTACATGCTCTTGACTGAAATCGAACCTGGGACCCTTGAGTCCGCAGGCCGACGTTCTATCCGCTGAGCCAAACCGGTTAGGGCTGCTCGTGAAGGGTTTAAGCCAGAGAGGTGAAATGTATTCGTACGGTTTTTAGGTGCTTTAAGAACTCGGGACTTTATCCGTGCCCAATAGCAGTGGCTGTAAAGGGTTACATGTTTCCATGAAAAGGGTGCGTGTGTGTATCGTATATCCTAGTTCTAGGTGCTTTGATTGGGGAGACAAAGATGCGAAAGAGTAAAAACTTCCTCACCCCCCCATCTGGTCCATCCTGAATTCTGAAACACAGAATATTTTGTAGCAGGTTCAGTGGCTGACTTGTGTTTGTTTCTGTTGGAAACTTTTTACTTTTATTTTTTTTCAAATATATTTTTATTGATTTCAGAGAGGAAGGAAGAGGGGGAGATAGAAACATCAGTGATGAGAGAGAATCATTGATGGGCTGCCTCCTGCACGCCCCCCACTGGGAACTGAGCCCACAACCCTGGCATGTGCGCGGAATCGAACCTGAGACCCTTTAGTCCGCAGGCCAACTCTCTATCCACCGAGCCAAACTGGCTAGGGCTGTTGAAAACTTTTAAAAAATATATATGGCCCTAGCTGGTTTTGCCCATGGATAGAGGTCGGCCTGAGGACTGAAGGGTCCCAGGTTCAATTCCGGTCAAGGGCACATGCCCGGGTTGCGGGCTCCATCCCCAGTGGGGGGTGTGCAGGAGGCAGCTGATCAATGGTTCTCTTTCATCATTGATGTTTCTATCTCTCTCTCCCTCTCCCTTCCTCTCTGAAATCAATAAAATATAAGAATAATTAAAATATATATATATGTGTGTGTGTTTATTGATTTTAGAGAGAGAGGAATAGAGAGATAGAAACAGAGATGGGCTGCCTCCTGTATGCCCCCCCCACTGAGGATGGAGACCCCAACCCGGGCATGTGCCCTGACTGGGAATTGATCTGGTGACCTCTTGATTCATGGGTCAATGCTCAACCACTGAGCTGTACTGGGAAGGCTGTTGTAAACTCTTTAAAGAGAGGGAATCTATCGTATTTCTTTGTGATTCCCAGTGCCTTACAATATATTACTTAATGAAGAAATTACTGATCCATCCAGTAATCTGGCCATCTCCCCCCAAATATTTTTTTCTTGATATTGCCATCAATTTTATGAATGTATTAATGATTGTTTTTAAGCACAGTGGTTAGGGTAATTATGTACTTATCCCCATTGAAGTTCACTTGATTTTACAGCTTATCCATCTTTTTATTTTATTTATTTATTTATTTATTTATTTATTTTAAAATATATTTTTATTGATTTCAGATCAATGATAAGGGAGGGACAGAGATATAGAAACATCAATTGAGTGTCAGCCCCCTGGTGGTCAGTGCATGTCATAGCGACCATTTGGTCAAACAGCCCTAATAGTTGCTTAGGCTTTTATATATATAGATGTTAAAAAAAAAAAAGTTAGGCCCTAACCAGTTTGGCTCAGTGGATAGAGCGTTGGCCTGCGGACTGAAGGGTCCCAGGTTCAATTCCAGTCAAGGGCATGTACCTTGGTTGCGGGCACATCCCCAATAGGGGGTGTGCAGGAGGCAGCTGATCGATGTTTCTCTCTCATCGATGTTTCTAACTCTCTATCCCTCTTCCTTCCTCTCTGTAAAAAATCAATAAAATATATATATTTTTAAAAAGTTAGTGTGTCCAAAGACAGGGTTCTGTTCATGTGTTTCGAGGAGGCCCAATCCTCTCTAGTGATGGGAAAGTTGGCCAAGAGTAGGATTATGTGAAAATAGAATAAGAACATCCAGCCTCGCTCCTGGGCTGCCCTGCCACCCGTCCATGGAGACAGCCCCTGGGCCCTGAGAGTCGGGAGGAGGTGGCCCTCTGGGCAGGGTGCCTCCCACCTGGCCCCTCTCCCTCCCTGACCGCCCTGCAGCCACAGACACTCAAGTTACCGAGGACCTGACCTTCAGGGGAAAGCAATAGAGACTCTCTTTTCAAAAGATTTCTTTCTTTTTTTTTAATATTTTATTGATTTTTTACAGAGAGGAAGGGAGAGGGACAGAGAGTTAGAAAGATCGGTGAGAGAGAAACATTGATCAGCTGCCTCCTGCACACTCCCTATTGGGGATGTGCCCTCAGCCAAGGTACATGCCCTTGACCGGAATTGAACCTGGGACCCTTGGGTCCACAGGCCGACGCTCTATCCACTAAGCCAAACCGGTCAGGGCAAAAAGATTTTATTTCTTGAAGCAATAAATATTTTATTGGGATGTGAGGTGCAAAATAAATAAATAGAAATAAAGAAACCAAACCTTGTATGGTGGACAGAATTTACCTGAGAGCTAGTCTAGTGTTTGAGTATACGGTTATCCTTGATAGCTGTCTTCTGCTTTTCAGACCATGCTGAGGATATCCTGAGAGCTATGGATGCATAATGAGTCTGTTGCTTTAGGACCTGATGACCCTCAATGATGTGGCTGGGGACTTCAGGGAAGAATGGAAACTACTTAGAGAATCCTCTTCAGGGATACGACCCAGCGCCGTTAGAAGAATGGGCTCTCAAAGGGTAAGGATGCTACTCTTCTTTATTTACTCTTAATATGTTTTTATCGATTTTGAGAGAGAGAGGAAGGGAGAGTGAGAGAGAGAGAGAAACATCATCCACTGACTGCCTCCTGCACGCCCCCTATTGGGGATCAAGCCCACAACTGGGGTATGTGCCCTGACTGGGAATCGAACCAGTGACCTTTGGGTTCCTGGGTGGACGCTAACCACTGAGCCATACCCAGCCGGGCAGAATGCTACTCTCCTTTAGAGTTAAGCCCTATATTTTAAAAGGGCCGAGGTCTAAATGGCCTCTAGGGATGCTGGCCTCTTAGAGCTCCAGTTCCCTTTGAGAATAACTGTTGCCTTCCTGGCAGAGAAAGGAGGACTTCCATTTTTTTTTTTTTTAAATATATTCTATTGATTTTTTACAGAGAGGAAGGGAGAGAGATAGAGAGTTAGAAACATCGATGAGAGAGAAACATCCATCAGCCGCCTCCTGCACATCTCCTACTGGGGATGTGCCTGCAACCCAGGTACATGCCCTTGACCGGAATCGAATCTAGGACCTTTCAGTCTGCAGGCTGACGCTCTATCCACTGAGCCAAACCGGTTTCGGCAGGACTTCCATTTTTATGGCACTTTATGGTTTGCAGATGTCTTTGGTATTTATTATCTTGTTAATATCTCACCATAACCTTTCGATGCATGTATTATCTTCCACCTTTTCCAGCTCAGGACACTGGGACTCAAAGGTAAGTGCCAGAGGTGAGAGTACAAATCAGGTCTTTGTGGAAAATGGGGAATATGTACATACAAGTAATATATACTCGTTGAAGAAAAAAAACATGCAAAATGAAAACAAAAGTTATCCATTCCACCACTAAAAAGTTACTATGCCTCCATATATAAAATTAAAAGCATAATACACATACATACTTATACAATTAAAAAAACAAGTACATATAGAATTAGAAAATGATATAAAAACAAAAGAAAAAATTGGGCCCTAACCGGTTTGGCTCAGTGGATAGAGCGTCGGCCTGCGGACTGAAAGGTCCCAGGTTCGATTCCGGTCAAGGGCATGTACCTTGGTTGCAGGCACATCCCCAGTAGGGGGCGTGCAGGAGGCAGCTGATCGATGTTTCTCTCCCATCGATGTTTCTAACTCTCTGTCCCTCTCCCTTCCTCTCTGTAAAAAATCAATAAAATATATTTGAAAAAAAGAAAAAATTGGGATCATACTGTATATTCAGTTATACATCCTATTTTCTTTTTTTAAAATATATTTTTATTGATTTCAGAGAGGGAGGGTGAGGGAGAGGGAGGTAGAAACATCAATGATGAGAGAGAATCATTGATCGGCTGCCTCCTGCACACCCCACACTGGGGATTGGGTCCACAACCCAGGCATGTGCCCTGACCAGGAATCGAACCGTGACCTCAGGTTCATAGGTCAACACTCAATCACTGAGCCATGCCAGCTGGGCCATTCTACTTTCTTATACATCATATTATGAATATATTTTGACAACAATATCTTCCTCTATACCACTTAAAATAACCATTTAGTATTCTGTCATGTGAGTACAATAATTTGAATTAGATTGAACTATATATTTGACCATTTTTTACTTATAAAATGGCAGTTTCGAAAGGTGGGGGGAGGATGGGTGGGTGGGTGGTAAGCGATTAAAGAGCTTGTATGCATATATGCATAACCCATGGACACAGGGATGGTGAAGGCCTGGGGTGGGGGACAGAGGTGGGCTAGACAGGGTCAATGGGGGAAAAAGAAGAGGGACATATGTAATACTTTCAACAGTAAAGATTTTTTAAAAATATTTAATTAAAAAAAAAAAAAAAGAGCCTCGCCTGTGTGGCTCAGTGGTTGAGCATCAACCCAGGAACCAAGAGATAATAGGTTTGCCCTGGCTGGTTTGGCTCAGTGGATAGAGCGTCGGCCTGGGGACTCAAGGGTCCCAGGTTCGATTCCGGTCAAGGGCATGTACCTTGGTTTCGGGCAACATCCCCAGTAGGGGGTGTGCAGGAGGCAGCTGATCGATGTTTCTCTCTCATCGATGTTTCTAACTCTCTATCCTTCTCCCTTCCTCTCTGTAAAAAATCAATAAAATATATTTAAAAAAAGAAAAAAAAGAAGTAATAGGTTTGATTCCCGATGATCACGGGTTGTGGACTCAATCCCTGTTAGGTCTGATTCAGTAATTAAATGTATACTCCCTCACCTGGGAATTGACCTTTATTTTTATTTATTTATTATTTTTTAATTTTTTATTTTCATTGATTTCAGAGAGGTAGGGAGAGGGAGAGAGAGATAGAAACATCAATATTGAGAGGAAATCATCAATTGGCTACCTCCTGCACACTCCCTCCTGGGGGTTGAGCCCGAAACCCAGGCATTTCAGGTACATTTCTCTGACTGGAATCGAACCCTGGACCTTCAGTCCGCAGGCCGACGCTCCATCTACTGAGTCAAACCAGCTAGGGCTGGGAATTGACCTTTAGACCATTTTACCACCGACATTCCCCTTCGCTTAGATCACATTCCACTTGCTAAGACCATTATCCTTCCCCTCTGGACCTGCCCAGGGAATTCTCCGCCTGGAAAAAGCCCACCTAGAGTCCTTTAAAATCTCTGACTCCCTGTCCCTGGGGGCTGGCACCATTTGGTTTTCCAGATGACCTCATAAGTTCATTCTTTATTCCTTTTGGCTCCTGCGCTCCTCCTTGGAGACTCCAACAATCCCCAGTTGGGGGCGTGCAGGAGGCAGCTGGTGGATGATGTTTCTCTCTCATCGATGTTTCTGTCTCTCTATCGCTCTCCCTTCATCTCTCTAAAAATCAATAAAGCCGAAACCGGTTTGGCTCAGTGGATAGAGCGTCGGCCTGCGGACTGAAAGGTCCCAGGTTCGATTCCGGTCAAGGGCATGTACCTGGGTTGCAGGCACATCCCCAGTAGGAGATGTGCAGGAGGCAGCTGATCGATGTTTCTAGCTCTCTATCCCTCTCCCTTCCGCTCTGTAAAAAAATCAATAAAATATATTAAAAAAAAAAAAAGAGCAGGCCACAGTTTGTTTCTAAAAAATAAATAAATAAAATAAAAATCAATAAAAACGTGTTTTAAAAAAATAAATGGCAGTTTCATATGGCTCAAATATGCCTTTCGTATGCCTTTGTTGTGGGACATTTAATTGATTTATGGCATTTCCAGATTCTCACCAGTATGGTGATAAACAACTCTTAGATAATTGTCTTTTTTTTTCTGTCTTCTTTATTGAAGTATAATTAGTTAATAAATAGCTAATATGTCTTTTGCACAACTGTTATTTTTTCATTTTCTTACAATTCCCAGAATTAGAAATGCTGGGTCCAAAAATAGGTACATTTCTTGGGTATTTGATATTTTTGCCAAATGCCTTCTAAAAAGATTAAATCAATTTATTTATTCCATTTCTTCATAGTCTACCATCATGATAGATATTATATTTTAACAGTGTGGGTTAATTAATAGTGGTAGCTAACATTTATTGAGGACTTACCACTTAATCCTTATAACTCTATAAAGTAGACCTTATCATTATCCCTAATTTATAGATAAAGACATTGGCACAGAGAGTTGAAGTAACTTTCCTGATGTTGCACAGCTAGTAAGAGACAGGGTTGGATTCAAACTCGGGCAGTATGACTCCTGAGTTTGCACTCTTCACCTCTACACTTATTGCCTAAGTGTATCATTGTTTTAATTTTTTAAAATATGTTTTTTAAATTGGTTTTAGAGAGAGGAAGGGAGAGGGACACAGAGATAGCAACATCGATGAGGGAGAAACATCATCAATTGGCTGCCTCCTGCACACCCCCTACTGGGGATCGAGCCCAAAACCTGGGGATGTGCCCTGACTGGGAATCCAACCAGTGACCTCTTGTTTCATGGGTCGATGCTCAACCACTGAGCCACAGAGGCCGGACAATCGTTTTAATTTAAATTTCTTTGGTTAATAGTAAGTGTAAGATTTTCCATATATTTATAGGCTACTTTTCTTTCTTTTGTGAATTGCCTATGTTCATTATTTTTTTTTCTTACAAGTGTTTGTCTTTTTCTCATAGCTGTATCTATTGCTGTCCTTCTGGGAAAAATTTAAAGGCCAATATTATAATTAACTTCCTTGATTCTCTCTAAGGGTGAGGTCATGGTGGCTTTGTTTCTGATAAAATTATCTTTCCACAGGGGTTTAGCCTTGTGCCTTCAGAGATGAGTTATTGTACTTACCCTAGAGTTTCAATGACCTATGTCTGATTTTTTTAAAAAAACTTATTGTTGAAAGTATTACATATGTCCCCTTTTTTAAAATTTTTTTAAAAATATATTTTATTGAGTTTTTACAGAGAGGAAAGGAGAGAGATAGAGAGCCAGAAACATCGACGAGAGAGAAACATCGACCAGCTGCCTCCTGCACACTCCCCACTGGGGATGTGCCCGCAACCCAGGTACATGCTCTTGACCGGAACCGAACCTGGGACCTTTCAGTCCGCAGGCCGACGCTCTATCCACTGAGCCAAACCGGTTTCGGCCATATGTCCCCTTTTATCCTCCATCTACCCCCACCAGCCCCCTCACCCCCCACTCCAGGCCCTCACCACCCCACTGTCTGCATCCATGGGTTATGCATATATGCATACACAGTCTTTGGTTGATTACCTCCCACCCACACATCCTCCCCCGCCTTCCCTCTGAGATTCTGCTGGTTTTCTGTTTTGCTTTTTAATGGGCGGAAAAGGGCTTTTCCTCAGCCTCTTGGGGAGATCACCCTCTTTTATCACTTTACCGTGGCTGCCCTTTTAATGAGACAGAACACACATGAGCGTTTGTCTGGAGGTCCCCTTTTACCTAGGGAAGGAGGAGGGCTTACATTTTGGCCAGGCCTCGTGTGATTGGCTCAGATCAACATCCTCTGTTCATCTCCCTGTACAGGATTTCTAGACCAAGTGTCATCTCCCACCTGGAACAGAAAGACGAGCCCTGGCTCCTACCACTCCAACATTTTGAGGCAAGGGAGATCCTAAAGGAAAGTCACTCAGGTGAGATGTGAGTGTTACTTGGTGGGAGAAGAATGTGAAATGCTGCCCTGGAGTTTTGTTCTTCCCATCGGAAGTTTAAATTTGAGTTCTTGGGCAGTCACGAATTGACCAAATAAAGTCTCTTTTTTAAGTAAGCATGTCACTTTAGTTTCCACTGTGACATCTTTGAAAGGAGGTGCCTGATTTTGACAACATGTGGCTTACTCTTGAAGGATGTAAAGGTCATCTCAAGATTTATCTGGTCATCCTATATAATAAAGAGGTAATATGCAAATTGACCATCACTCCAACACACAAGATGGCCATCACAAGATGGCCAGCAGGGGAGGACAGTTGGAGGCGACCAGACCGTCAAGGGAGGGCAGTTAGGGGTGACCGGGCCAGCAGGGGAGAGCAGTTGGGGGCTACTAGGCCTGCAGGGGAAGACAGGGGCAACCAGACTGGCAGGGGAGGGCAGTTAGGGGCAATTGGGCTGGTAAGGGAGCAGTTAGGCCTCAATCAGGCTGGCAGGGGAGTGGTTAGGGGGTGATCAGGCAGGCGGGCAGATGAGCAGTTGAGAGCCAGCAGTCTACTGGGATCGGGCCTAAACGGGCAGTCGGACATCCCTCAAGGGGTCCCAGATTGGAAAGGGTGCAGGCTGGACTGAGGGACACCCGCCCCCCCCCCGCCCGGCCCCGCACGAATTTTGTGCACCAGGCCTCTAGTCTTAAAATAAAAACAGTTTAGGAATTCTTGTTTTCTGTGAGCTCAATGAACATCAATAAACTTTTCACAGAGTGAAAACCAAAGTAGTCAAATTAAGTATAGTCTGTTGCAAAAACACTAATTTTAAGCTTTCTTGCTGCCTTCTGATGTACGTTCCTGACAACTTTATTCTTAGTCACTTCTGTTAATTTTTCAGACTTGGAGAATCAGCTGGAAAAACTCCATCAGGATGTTTCTGAAACAGCAGGACAAAGCAGAACATCCTCAGAAGGGGCCAATAAAGATGTTTATCAGACTCCTAGCTGGGGAGGAAGCTGGGAGAGGGGCCTTGAATTAGAACCTGGAACCCTTCCAGGGGAGGGCCATCGGGACAAGGATTTAAACAAGCTCCTGGAGGGATACGCAGGAAAGAAGCCTGTGTGTGCAGAATGTGGGAAAACCTTTAACCAGAGCTCCTATCTCATTAGACACCTAAGAACCCACACCGGCGAGAGGCCTTATAAATGCACCGAGTGCGGGAAAGGCTTCAAGCAGAGCTCAGACCTCGTCGCCCATCGCAGAACACACACAGGAGAGAAACCCTACCAGTGCAGTGGGTGTGAGAAAAAATTCGGCGACAGCTCAACACTCATCAAACATCAGAGGACCCACACGGGCGAGAGGCCCTATGAGTGCCCAGAGTGTGGGAAGACTTTTGGGCGGAAGCCACACCTCATCATGCACCAAAGAACCCACACCGGAGAGAAGCCCTACACGTGCCTCAAATGTCACAAAAGCTTCAGCCGAAGCTCCAATTTCATCACCCACCAGAGGACGCACACAGGAGTGAGGCCTTACCGGTGTGATGGCTGCGGGGAGAGTTTCAGCCAGAGCTCGGATCTGACCAAGCACCAGAGGACCCACACCGGCGAGCGGCCCTTTAAATGCCCCGAGTGCGGGAAGGGCTTCACGGACAGTTCCCATTTCGTCGCGCACATGAGCACGCACTCGGGAGAGAGGCCATTCAGCTGCCCCTCCTGCCCCAAGAGCTTCAGCCAGAGCTCCCATCTGGTCACGCACCAGAGGACCCACACCGGCGAGCGGCCCTTTAAGTGCGACAGCTGTGGCAAAGGGTTCGCCGACAGCTCTGCCCTCGTTAAGCACCAGCGGATCCACACGGGCGAGAGACCCTACAGGTGTGGCGAGTGCGGGAAGAGCTTCAATCAGAGCTCCCACTTCGTGACCCATCAGCGGATCCACTTAGGAGAGAGACCGTATCCGTGCCCCGAGTGTGGCAAAACCTTCAATCAGCGTTCCCACTTCCTGACACACCAGAGGACGCACACAGGAGAAAAACCTTTCCACTGTAGTAAATGTGACAAGAGCTTCCGTCAGAAAGCACACCTTTTGTGCCATCAAAACACTCATTTGATTTAGGAAATAATCTTTAGTGGTTTTGCTGCTCCCTTCCAAAAATTTAAAAAATATATATATATTTCTATTGACTTCAGAGAGAAAGGGAGAGGAAGCGAGAGAGAGAGAGAGAGAGAGAAACATCAATGATCAGAGAATCATTGATCGGCTGCCTCCTGCACGCCCCCCACTGGGGATCGAGCCTGCAACCCAGGCATGCGCCCTTGACCGGAATTGAACCTGGGACCCTTCAGTCCACAGGCAGACGCTCTATCCATTGAGCCAAACCGGCCAGGGCCAAATTTTAATCTTTAAGTACCCCAGTAGAGAAAACTATCTTCAAGTACCCCAACTAGGAACCTGGGCACCAGTGGCTCAAGCTGGGCCCTAATCTGTTCCCTCTCTTTCTTTCTTTTTTTTTTTCATGTTTTAATGGTAAGGATAAACCTATAGGCTCCAAACAATGTTTGAACACAAAAGGCATGCCTTCAGTGTTTTTGATGGATTCTTAGGGAAATATAAATTGAATAGTTGATGCCTGGTTACTATAAGAGAAGTGAAATAAATGTGACCTAAAGGTCTCCTGTAAGCCACCTAGTACAGTGCCTGGCACAAAATAGGCTCCTAGTAACAAAATGGTCACGGTAGCATTAAAATGATGAATACTTGAGATCTTATATAAAGCCCTCAATATTGTGCCTGCCCCTTAAAAGACACTCCATGCCAAGCTGGCTGCTTATATCAGCCTTATTACACAGTAAGACATTTATTAGGGCAGCCCTGCAAGCTGAGGACTTGCAAGCAATTAGGTTGGTATTAGATCTGGGGTGTGAGCGCCCAGATTTCATAAAACAGAAAACACTGTCCCAAGCCAGTGCTGTGCAGGCATTAGTCACCAGATGTCTCATTGCCATGACGAGGCAGAATTAGTCTTAGAGGATGTTTTCGGTCTTGTGACTAAGAGGCCGAAAGACTTTCTGAAGCTTTCGGTACAGCAGCAGTGCCTGAGGTGCTCCCATTGGCCGTTTGCTGCCATCCGAGGCACAGAAAGATCCAGGGACAAGCCAGCCAGAGGGACCTGGAAGAGAACTATCACGTTGTGGAAACAAGATTCCTGAGACGACTGGGCAACGCTACAGGGACCCTTCCCGGCATCCAGCTGCAGGAAACGGCTCCTGTTTTCAAATCCTCTGGCTCCTTTGCCTTTTAGTTTTAAGTTACTGCAACTCTCTGACCTTCTCAGGGTCATTCATTTTACACACTGGTCCAGTCCTGTATTTAATTGGAACGCACTGAGGAAAGGCAGTGTTGGCAAGAACACTGACTTCGCTGAGAAGGTGAGCTGTTTGAGTCCTGGCCCTGACACTTAACCTTGGCCAGACTTCTGCCTTTGGTCAGGCCCTACCTTCCCTACCTCACAAGGTGGTTGTGAGAGCTTGCACGCACGCACGCACACGAGCACTTTGTTGTTAAACCATAAAGTGTAATATCCCTACAGTATTGTTGCAAAAATGTCTTTTTTTCTGAGGACCTCTGGGTAATATTTCTCCAGATGTCTCCTTTTCTCTCCTGATGACAGACTTCTTTTTTCACGTGTTGAAAACCTGTGGCCTGAAAAATGCCAAACAACTCGCTGTGGGTCACGTAGTTAACAGAAGAGCCAGATTTTTGGCTGCAGGTCTCCTGTCAGCAACACGGAACCGACCAGCCCTGGGGTTTGTCAGTGTCTCATATTATATCCATCAGACCGCTCTCCATTTGGAAATGACGGAGGCGTGGAGCCTAAGTTCCCAGGAGCTTTGCAGGATTCTGGGCTGGGGGTCTTTGGTCCTGGAGGAGTAAGAGTGGACAGGTAAGGGCAGATGCAAGGGGCTAAGGAGGGCGTGTTTTGGGTGTTTAATACTCTAGAGCAGCGGTTCTCAACCTGTGGGTCGTGATCCCTTTGGGGATCGAACGACTCTTTCACAGGGGTCCCCTAAGACCATCGGAAAACACATATATAATTACATATTGTTTTTGTGATTAATCACTGTGCTTTCATTATGTTCCATTTGTAACAATGAAATTGGGGGTCACCACAACATGAGGAACTGTATTAAAGGGTCGCGGCATTAGGAAGGTTGAGAACCACTGCTCTAGAGGGAAAAGTTGGTGCCTGAAGGTTTTCTTAAAAGCCTTCCTGTGTTACTCAGACTAAATTACTACATCAGCCTTGGAATACTATTTTGTCCCCTTCTGTTCTATGGAATGCCCCCTGAGGGCTTTAACTCATGGGGGACAGAACGTGCTGATGACCTAAGCTCTTTCTTTGTCAGGGAAGTTAGATAACTGACCAGGAAAAAACAATCTGGTTCATTGAGTGCAGTGGTTCGCAAAATGTAAACCCAGATCAGTAGCATTAGCATCTGGGAACTTGTTAGAAATGCGAAGTCTAAGTCCTCACCCTAGACCTACTGCATCAGAACCTCTAGGGATAGCCCGAGCCGGTTTGGCTCAGTGGATAGAGCATTGGCCTACAGACCAAAGGGTCCCGGGTTCGATTCTGGTCAAGGGCATATACCTTGGTTGCAGGCTCCCCCCCCCCCCCCCCCGGCCCGGGCCCCAGTCAGGCTCATGCAGGAGGCAACCAATCAATGTGTTTCTCTCATATCGATATTTCTCTCTGTCTTTCCCTCTCTCTTCCACTCTCTCTGACAATCAATCGAAAAATATCCTTGGGTGAGGAGTAACAAAACAAAAACTCTAGGGGTAATATATGTGAACTCCAGGGGGTACCATCTCTACGAGGGTGGGAGTGTTTTGGCCAGGGGTAGGACATGGAATATGAGACTGCAGAGTTGAGTATGATATCCCTCAGAAGAGACATTCTGACAGTTTTTCACTGGATTAATGTGAAGTGTCCTGGAAGAGTGTCCCACAAGAGGGAGCCGGCCCAGCCGGTGTGGCTCACTGGTTAAGTGTCGACCTCTGAACCAGGAGGTCACGGTTCAATTCCCAGTCAGGGCAGATGCCCAGGTTGTGGGCTCTATCCCCAGTGTGGGGCGTGCAGGAGGCAGCCAATCAATGATTCTTTCTCTCATCATTGATGTTTCTATCTCTCCCTTTCCTTTCCTTTCCCCTCTCTGAAATAAAATAAATAATAAATACATAAATAAATAATTGTGGGCTCTCACAGACCGCGGCCAACATGGCGAGCAGGCTCTTCCATATGTGCACCGTCACGCTCTGAGAGATAAAAGCAGGTGGTCTGTAGCCTGGCTTCCTCTCCATCTCCCTCTCCTCAGCCCTCCCCCAGTTCTTGGAGGAGAGGAGGCTGGCTGGCAACCTAGTCGCTGCCAGCAGAGTTAGCACATTCCCTCCAAACTCAAGACCCCCAGGCTCCAGCCGCTCCTATTCCGACTTCCTAACAGTATTGAACAGACACAGGTCACGGGCTTGTAACGTAAATTGCGTCTTTTTCTATCACCTTGTTTTTCATGCTGTACATCTACAGAAATGTCCCATAACATAAGCTCTTGCAGGGCGATGTGGGACTTGCTTTGGAGCTCTGCCACCTCCCCGCAACCCTCCAGCCATGAGCAGGGAACCCCTCAATGTATTGGTGAGAGTCAAGGTAACTGACTTTCCATTGTTAACATAAAAAACCCCGTTGAAACCTGTAAAGAATTTTGTGAGTTTATTTGAGCCAAACTGTCGACATATGCCGGGAAGCAGAACCTCAACGAATTGAGATAATGCTCCGGAGAATGGCGGGTTACATCTGTATTTATACATTGGAATCAAAGGAAGGACATAGGTGAGTTACATGAAATTCATGGGTGATAGATTAAGGAGGAGGGATAAAGCAAAACAGGGAAACCCCTGGGATTGGATAAAAAGTAAAATGATGGACATATACTTAGGTGGGTGCAGGATCAATTAACATGATAATGAAGGAATTTGTGGCATCTGTCCTGGCGCCCAGCACATTTGATCATGCCCCAGGGGCTCCAGAAAAAGGGAAGTTACAAGTTACCCAGACATGTCAAGGGTGTGTTATCATAGATGCAAAACGACAGAAAGGCTCCATTAAGGTAAAGGTTGACCTTGTCAGTGAAGATACTGGCCTAGCACGTAGGACGTAACTGCCCACCATCACTGCTTTAGTTTAAGTGTAATTTCAGACCATCCTTTGTGGTGACTTTAGGTCTCTGAGTTTGCAAGACCGCCATGCAGGCCTCCCCTGAGCTTGTCAGGTCAGCATGTGGCCCCTTTTGTCCACACCATATTTTCCCTTTGTTGCTTCCCCGTGACGGGCTCCTTGTATATGCTCCGCACCTCCTCTCTCCTTCACTCCGTTGATTTTTGATTTTTTCTTTAAAGCTCAGGGTTCTGCCAAGAAATATTTTTTAAAATTTTTATTGATTTCAGAGAGAAAGGAAGAAGGAGAGAGAGAGAGAAATATCAATGATGAGGATTATTGATCGGCTGCCTCCTACTGGGGATCGAGCCTGCAACCCGGGCATGTGCCCTTGACTGGAATCAAACCCAGGACCCTTCAGTCTGCAGGCTGATGCTCTATCCACTGAGCAAACCGGCTAGGGCCTCTCTCCACTTTAAAACCCACGTCATCTCCAGGCCCTGTCAACTTTACCTCTCAGGCTCCTCTCAGAACCATCTACCAGTCTCTCCATCTCCAAGGCCACTCTCTAGTCCCAAGTCACCACCATCTCTTACCTAAGTCCCTTGAGTAGCTTCCTACTGATACCCCAGATATTATTTTTTTTTAAAAAGTATATTTTATTGATTTTTTACAGAGAGGAAAGGAGAGGGATAGAGAGTTAGAAACATCGATGAGAGAGAAACATCGATCAGCCGCCTCCCAGACGCCCCCTACTGGGGATGTGCCCGCAACCTAGGTACATGCCCCTGACAGGAATCAAACCCGGGACCCCTCAGTCCGAAGGCCAACGCTCCATCCATCGAGCCAAACCGGTCAGGGCCCAGATATTATTTTTGCTAATTTCTTCTCAGAGAAGTCAGAGTGATCTTTTAAAAACCTTAAATGGAATCATATCACCAAAAATGCTTTAAATTGACAGCTTTTAGGATAAAGAACCAAATCTAAAAATAAGATCCACCCTGGCCAGTTAGCTCAGTTGGTTAGAGCGTCATCTTGATATGCCAGGGTTGCGGGTTCTA